GGATCATGTAAGCCTTATATGTATATTCTCATCTCTACCTAGCACGAGGCCTTTTGGGAGCTCACTGGCTTCAAGTTCCATCAGAACTCTAAAGTTAAGCGAGTTCACGCGAGAGCAATCCCATGATGGGTGACCCATTGGGAAGTTCTCGTGTGAGTTCCCAGAAACAAAACCGTGAGGGTGTGATCGGGGCCCAAAGCGGACAATATCGTGCTACTGCGAAATCGAGCCCAGGATGTGGTGGGGGTCCGGGCCGGGATGTGACAATTTTATTGTAACATTCCACATCGCCCAAGGGAGTGGATCATGTAAGCCTTGTATGTATATTCATATCTCTACCTAGCACAAGGCATTTTGGGAGCTCACTGGTTTCGGGTTCCATCGGAACTTCGAAGTTAAGCGAGTTTACATGATAGCAATTCCATGATGCGTGACTTATTGGGAAGTTCTCATGTGAGTTCCCAGAAACAAAATCGTAAGGGCGTGGTTGGGGCCCAAAGCCAACAATATTGTGCTACGACAGAATCGAACCCGGGATGTGGTGGGGGCCCAGGCCGGGATGTGACAATTTTATTGTAACATTCCACATCGCCCAGGGGAGTGGATCATGTAAGCCTTATATGTATATTCATATCTCGACCTAGCACGAGGCCTTTTGGGAGCTCACTGGTTTCGGGTTCCATCGGAACTCCGAAGTTAAGCGAGTTCACATGATAGCAATTCCATGATGGGTGACCCATTGGGAAGTTCTCATGTGAGTTCCCAGAAACAAAATCGTGAGGGCGTGGTTGGGGCCCAAAGAGGACAATATTGTGCTATGGCGAAATCGAACCCGGGATGTGGTGGGGGCCCAGGCCGGGATGTGACAATTTGGTATCAGAGTCAATCCCTGGCCGGAAGTGTGCCGACGAGGAAGTTGGGCCCCTAAGGGGGTAGATTGTAACATCCCACATCGCCCAGGGGAGTGGATCTTGTAAGCCTTATATGTATATTCACATCTCTACCTAGCACGAGACATTTTAGGAGCTCACTGACTTCGGGTTCCGTAGGAACTTCGAAGTTAAGCGAGTAGCGCATGAGAGCAATCTTAGGATGGGTGACCCATTGGGAAGTTCTCATGTGAGTTCCTAAAAACAAAACTGTGAGGGCATGGTTGGGGCCCAAAGTGGACAATATCGTTCTACGGTGGAGGTGGGGCCCAGGATATGGTGGAGCACGGGTCGGGATGTGACATATTTACAACAAGTCAAAAGCCCGCCATCAATCATACTTGAAACCCCAAAATTTCAAATGAGAAACAGAAGATATGTATTACAAGGTGAAAAATGATAGAGAAAGAGATGCAGAGCTTGTAGTAGGTGATGAACAGTACTGGAACAATTTGACAGAAGAAAAGCTGCATAACATCGACAACATGATGGAAGCATGAAGAGCTGGCAACAAATTAGCAAAAGTAGCATAAGATGAATAGCATCATCAAAATAATGTATTGTAATCAGACAAAAATGTCAACATCATTGTGAACCCCGCTATAATAATGAAATAATGGCATAAGAGTAAATAAAGAAAATAACTTGACCCATTGTAGACTTTTCATACATAAAATGTCATTTTGATTAAGAATGAACAATGAAAAACCTTTTTTATTAGAACTCCTAAATATAAATTGATGTCGACCTACATAAAGCAACTTTGGACATGTTAGTTACTAAACGACATAAAGAAATCTAAACGTTTTTAGCAGGCTATATTACTTTGGCAAATTCATTGCCTAGCCCACACCCACGTGAGCCACTCTTGTAATTGATGAACCTCAACATGCTCCTAGACCTGGTTACACTGATGCTTAGCTGATTGGTTAGGATCCCACATGCATTAATATTCAAAATTGGCATGCATACTTTGATGATTAAACACAATTTTTTTTAAATATAATGCTATAGAGATTAAATTTGTAAACTAAATTTTCAAAAATAAATAACATGAAAGTTGATAATTAAATTGTTATTTAATATTAATTAACCTGCTTATTTCATATTTGTAACACATAATTTAATTTACAAATTTAGCCTACTCAGCAATACTCTTTTTTAAAAGTTGTTTTTAGAAATAATGATAACATTACATGGCGACTGAACACATAAATTATTAAAAATGTCAAACATAAAATATTTATATTCTAAACTTGTCACCTTTTATTATTTGAGTGAACTTTATTGCAATGCCGAGATATAACTTGTGGTGTAAGTTTTTTACAAGTAAAACGTACAAAACATGGTTGATGAGTAAGAATACCACTTAGATTAGCTTTGGGACAGTTGAATATATCGTGGTTTCCTAAGGAGTGGTCAACATGTGATACACATGATCCCTATTTATTAATGACATATGCGGCTCTCTTTTTCTCTTATTCTGAAGTTTTGTCCCACGTGATTTTATTCAGAACGTTTTTAACCGAAACCATTGTATTAACTTTTTAAGTTATCTTTTAAGAGAGATGTTTTATTTCTCTTTTGTTTCTTTTGTATTTGTGCCCTGATTAGTTTCAGGCAGCGAGTCATTTAATTAAGAGTATTTTTATTCATGATCTTCATATTTATTTTTGAATGTTTCTTTGGTTATCCATGGTAATATTCATGTATTATCTTATGATGATTTAATAAAACACATTATTTCTATAAACATTATAATAAAAAAGAGAGTAAGAATGTCACCCTTTATATTATTCTAAAAACTTTCTGGACTTTAGATTTTCATTATTACTTCGAGTTCTTTCCTCTCATATTTTCCTTTATGGTATTTAAACGCCTCTTAGCAACTTGGTTTTAACTTTTAAAAGGCCAACCGTTTTCCTCGTACAATAAAACTTCTTTATAATGTTAGGAATAAACTAATTTTATTACTATACGAAGGTTGGGTGTAGTTACAAAAATTATTTTTTGACTTGGTTATCCTTAAAGTTCTAAGGATACAAAGTACTACGTTAATAGTGGAGTTATGTCAATTTTGAAGATGCATATATTAGAAAAAAGAAAGATCTTGTCTGGAATAGCTAGTGAATGTATGTGTGGTAAAAAAGATATAAGGTCAAGTTGAAGATTTTACCACAATTATCACTAAGTAAAGGACAAGACCTAGAAAAAAATAAAACTTAGAACAATGTGAAGTTTATTTCTTTATATAACTAGCAAGAGTTGAGACGAAATTTTTTTATGACTAGATGAAGGTTATTGCTGTATAAGAGAGATTTTTCCTCTTATATTAGAACTAATTTTAGAAAAAATTGGTAATAGCGTTTTTATCTTTCATTATGTTTATAAGGTATTTTAATTGGTACATCTGGGTGTTGCTCTTTGCGTGTGTTTTGTCAGGTATTTTATGTTTATAGTTATCAGACAATTATCCTCAATCTTTTGATATATGGAAAAAAAATAAAATATTAGTTCAATACATGCAATATTTAGTAAAATTATTTTTGGCCCTCCAATTAAAGTATTCTTTGCTCCGACACCAACAAAATTGTAGACCTATATTGACGGTAAACCTTGATTTTATGATGTAATTGTGACTAATTTTACAACTACAATCTGGTGTTTTCAAGGCACCTGACCTCAGACTTGTGAAACCGATATTCTTTATTGTTTCCGGCGTTTGCAACCGCACAGGTAACAGGTCCCCCCTCCTATTCAATCGCTGTTTAATTTGAATAGAATATAGTTCCAACTATCTCGTCGAAAATGTCAATGTTCAAATTTGGTTTGCTTTTTACCAAGCCGGACCATAGGTTGGTTTGTTTCTTTCACGAGCTGAACTTCAACGAGCCAGACCCAATGCAAGCTCGATATGGGGAAGTAAAGATTTTGCAGCCCTACCCAAGAATCACTCCATCCCGCGAAATATTACATAGTCATGGACAAGTCTACAGATTATACTTTCTTTCTGTTTTGATTCCGGTTCAGCTCTTCCATTCAAGAAGTCAGAATTTGAATCGGTTTTTTCTTTTGTTAGGAAGGTTTGCATTAGTAAAATGGCAGAACCTGACAACAAGGTTGATCAGGTGCTGGAAGACAGACACGAGGAACACAATGATCGATCCACGCCATCACAGTTGCCAAACTCGGAGTTTACAGCCGAGCTGAACCTTCTGACCGTGTTCCTTTCATTATTTTCTGTATCTACAGACGAAAGCTTAAATTCTGCAGAGAGACAGCACGAAATGAAGAAAGACGTAGCTAAAACGACCAAGAGATTACATATCAACAAACGGGAGACAGACGAGGTCAAGCCGATTCGGAGACAGAATCAAAGGTGTCAAACAAGAATAAGGGATTCCAGGCATGGCCGAAGAGTGTAAAGAATACGTCATTCAGAGAGCAAGATGCAATACAAAAGTTTCTAGTTTTCGGCCAGAAGGAAAGCAAACACAGGAGCATCCCTGGAATTCTTCATACGATATTATCACCGAGTTTCGCCTAATTACATTACTAATGATAATATAACGCAATATTTTTCATTTTTCGTTTTAGCTATATTCATATAGTGCGTCGTAATAAATCAAACAAGTGTTCATGTCTGAAGAAAGCAAAACAAGCAATAAGCGGACATACCTAGCAAGTTTGATCCAGGAACTGAAATTACAAACCAAACAGCATGCAAATGCACTAATGCAGTCTTAAAATTCTCATGAACAGAACAAAATTAGACACATAAAAATACAAAAACAAATCCAGTCCTTTGCAATCTCTAGTCTTAAAAGTACAAAATTAGCTACGCTAAACCATCACCGGAAAAAAAATAGTTCACATGCAGATCTTTGCAATCTCCAAGTATGACAACAAAGAGATTCTGAAATCATTCATAGCGCATCTCACGTGCAAGTTGAATGACCAGGAACCATGAATTATTCAAAATATCTACCAAATGTCAAGTAGCTAGTCTACCAAAGTAATAGGAGACATGGCAAGGGGGAATGGGTGGTGATGAAGAGAGAATCGAATCAGTAACATATAACGGCATGTAGATAATGCTTTATCAGTGCTTATGGAAGGCATGCAGATGCATGTTTTACATTGTCAAAACACTTATTGGCACTTCATATGAATGGGAAGCTCAAAGCTACATTGTGTTCATAAGGAAACAGAAAAAATGAAAAACAAGGGGAAGCAATTTATGAACACAAGCTCAGACTCGCTTCTAACTTCAGAATGAAAAAGGAATCAAATTACCCCTAGTTTGCCAGACCTCTATTTCCCGACCTACAAAAATAGCACGAGCACAGACAAATATCATGGACCTCCCGCAATATCAGTCCGATATCCTGATCTCGACTCCTAAAACGTCCTTCACCATCTCGTACGTCACAAATGCAAGCGCAATGGATGGGACTACCTGATAATTGGAGCAGAGAGAACTATTATGTTGGCAAAGAAGTGTGTAAAATATTAATAACAAATAACAACTCGTCAGCAGATCAATACATCTTCATCTTTGTATAAAAAAAATTACTGAAACGGAAAAAATCCATGCACACATTAAAGCACACCTAGGGATGTAAATGGAGGTGGTACAAATTGAATGTAGCCCCTACAAGTACTTCTTTTTAACTATAATATGATAGTTTAAACAGACGTTGACTAATAAAAATGTTTCCTGGGGGTTAAGAGTTTCATGGAACGTAAAACTTTCATTTACTCTTCTATAACCATTCAGGATTAGTATTCATAGTGGATACTAACGGTTGAAAACCCTCTTGACATGTGGTACCCATACACAGCAGGCCGTGACCCATAGCCTGGAAGCCACGTAAGAATTAAACCGTAAGAATTCGCAGGACTTAAGTTCTAAACCCTTTTCTTGTTAATCCTAGTGGCACCTTTTTTGATAGTCCAATTTTCCACAACCATGTTAGTATGTTACCAAGCAGTCAGCCACCCTATTCATTTATAAGATGCATCTAGTTAGGCCATTTGCCCACCCTGACAAAATTGTTCTTAAAAACTGATAACTAGTCAACCTACAATTGTCCGAAAACAAATAAAAGAACAAAAGATTAAGACTGACCTTAACAGAGTTGGGAACCAAACCCTTGTACAATGCACCAAAGCCCTCATGACGAACAGTTTTCCTAAATGCGTCAATCATGCCAGTATACTCAAGTGGGGCCTTGCTTATCCCATCACCACTGACAACAGAAGCAGCATGGCTCCATCCCCCCATCTGCATCCTTCGACGATAACATCAAGAGGGTAAGCAACAGTTTGCCCAACAGTTCCAGCAGCAGCCCCGCATGCCAACCTTGTTGTCACGCTCAAATCTGTATCTTGAACAAGTCCAAATGGCCTACTTTTGATTAACCAATCTTTTAGGGATTCATACACAGCAAAGTTGAGACCAACATATGGAACCTGCAAACAAAATTTGACGAAGCAAGGTTAACAACAAAGGTAAATCGTGCAATCTGACTTCAGAGGAACAACAAAAGGAGCAAAAGGTAGTTTTCCACATTGATAAATCATCAGAGTTAGATCCTAAAACGACCATCTATTGCTAAATCAGCAAACTTTATTTCTTTTTAATTTTGAACTTATATCAAAAGGTTGGTAGAGTAGTAATGGATATGCAAAAAACACCTTTTTAGCAAAAGAAACTTACTACTCCAATAACAGAAGGAAGCCAGCCCTTGTACAAAGCCCGTGGGCCCTCCTCCCGGAGCACAGTCGATAGGGCATGGAACATTCCCCTGTACTGAAAGGGAGAATTCTCTGTCTACAAAATTAAGATCAACAAAACATATTAATAACTGCAAACGTTAATAGAAATTAAACATTCTCTTGCAATTTCAATCATTAAGACTGATGACTGCTATGACTGGAAAATAAAAAGGACTTTAAAATATTCATTCTATAAAGGTCGTAGGTCGTACCCAGTGCACAAGGCTCCCGCTTTACGCAGGGTCTGGGAGAGGTGAATGTCGGCTAGCCTTACCCCCATTTATGGAGAGGCTGCTCCCAAGTCTCGAACCCGAGACCTACCGCTCATGGGCGAAAGCACTTGCCATCGCACCAAGTGCGACCTCTAAAATATTCATTCTATGAAACAAAGAAAAAACAGGGACCAAAATTAGTACCTGTACAGTTATCCGTCCTCGTACCATGTCCATTGGGTAAGTTGCAGACATAGCAATAATTCCAGCACATGCTCCAGCTCCAAGACGTAGGATTGGAGTGAGCTGAGCATCTTCTGCAGATATTGAAAGAAAAAGAGATTTAGATCACCTACATTATCCATTGATTTCTAACTGCCTCTCTATGTGTTCCAAGGAACTATAAAGATCATGTCATTTTCCAAATGGTAACATCATAGCAGTATTATAGTTTCTTTGTTGGTTTATCTATATTATTAAGGCAGAAGGCCTTATGGTTAAATTTTTGAATAAACCCAAAAATCCCTTTGTTTACAATTGCTAAAAAAATCAAATAAAAAAGTGGGGACAAGATGGTAAAAAAAGGACGTTGAGGATATTTAAAACCAAGGTTCTTAAAGACGCTAGGCTCTAGTCGGGTAGCAGGTTGGGGCCTAGCACCTAGGCGGCTAGGCAGGAGCCCAGGCGGACTAGGCTGATTTAAGTAAATCTATTATATTTCATGTAAATAAGTGTCTACATATACTTTAAATATATATAATTTCATCATAAACTATAAAATAGAATGACATATATATTATGAAGTGCTGAAACATAATGACAACATGGGAAACAATGATATAATGTGTGTTCATTTAAGTATGCAACAATCTTACAATTTATTGAAAAAAATAAAATGCAAAATGAAAGTTATCTATTTTATGTTTAAATGAGTCGCGACCTAGGCGGGTGCCTACGGGGTCTAGGATGTCGTCTTAGTAGGTAGGCGCCATTTCTTAATTTTCAAATGTCTAGGCATTAATCAAGGTGGTGGCCAGCCGCCTAGCGCCGATTTTTAGAACAGTGTTTAAAACGGTCACAAAACTTCTACATGTTGGGTTTTTACGGCTCAAAATTAGGATGATGCAAAGAATTAGATTTGTGTTACCTATTTGGTTTTGGTGTCCTATTTGAGTTTGGATTTTGACTTCTTAGTTGGTTTCCTTGATGGAGAGATTTTTGTTAATTACCTATTTGATTGGGATTTGGATTTACTTCCTATTACGATTCTTATTGTAACCTAAGTCCTATGCACTATAAATAGGACCTTAGGGTTAGTGTATTTTGTGTGGCTCATTCGTGTGGCAATTTGGTGAGAGTCCATTTGTGAGTTTGTGAGTTAGAGAGCAATTTGGGAGAATCTTCTCCGTTTGTTTGAGTTCTCTACTCGTTTGGTTTAGGGTTTGTAATTTGTGGGATTTGGGTTGTGAGAGTTTAAACACTCTTTTGTAATCTCCGTTTGTTTAGTGAAATTCCTTGCCGTGCTTTGCCCGTGGAGTAGGCTTTACGCTGAACCACATAAATCTCTTGTGCTAGTTTGAGATTGTTTGTTTTAGCTTTCACCTACGACGTTGATATTTGGTACTTTGTTATAATTCGCTTCCGTTTGCGCATAAAAGTACGTCATTACACTCCATGATTCTCTCCTAGCAGTTATCCCCTCTCCAAAATACCTCCAAAACTGTCTTCAATCTCAAAATTTCTCACAACAAATTACTCTCAAATATTTCTAGTGCTTCACGACCTGCAAATATGACTGTGTTTCTCTCTTCTATCGTAGTTCTACTTACTGCTTCATCAACAGAAAAAAATTCATTCTGGGAATCAAAGGCTGGTGCATTCTCCCGGCCAAGTTATAGAGTTTGCAATTGGTGTTGTATGGGTTTAATTACATTGATATGTCATTGCTTTTGTTTTGTACAGGAGTGAGGACTGTGAGGCACTCCGTTTGAGGTACCCCTTTTATTATTTTAAAGTGAAAAGAGCAACCCGTTTGAATTTCTCTAACCTGCGGAAAGCAACCAGTCATGCCAGTTTCATTATATTTAAAGATTGGAGGGTGAGGGCACTAGGTACCAATTGTGTGGGCTACAATTTCAATCTTTGTCCAAATTGTGCAATTTGGGATGATGGATGATGAATTCAGATGGTTGGAGATTTATTATTTTAAGTTGCTTCTTGCTTCCTCTTTGGTTTTCTTATTTGCACATGTTTCTATTTTCATTTTGATATATACGTTCTCTAAAGTTGTGTTTGTCGTTTGACTGTTAATGTTTATTTTTTCTCTTCAATGTTGTATATATGCATTTCAGTAATGCATTTAATCACATTGATGCCTTTGTAACTGTTTTCCACAAAGAGTTGCACTCTCTCATCCCAACATTGTGACACTGGTGATTAATTTTTAGCAAGAAAAAGCAGAGGAAACCCAATGCTCTATGCGTGTTGAATTTGCCTTCATTCAGTGGTTGACAGGTATTGAATAAGATTTATGTGTTTATTTAGTGGCTTAATATATTTTGATTGACATCATTTTACTGTATATTAGTTAGTATGAAAAATGGCATTCTATTTTTTTTTTTTTACATTTTATTTATAACTTATGCACTCAATTTTCTTAATCTATTTTATATTGTCAAAACTATGAATTTGCTTTCGTTTCTCATATTATTTTTCTTTTTTCAAGAGACATTTTATAAATAGGAACCGAGGGGAAAAACATTCATGTGGTGATGAGCCATGTAATTCTACAGTGAGGGGTTTTTTATTAAATTTAATTTCTTTATATCATAGGTTTATGGAGTAATGCATTTTTTTATGCTCATATTTTCATTTAGTTTCAGTACTTGAAGTGATGCAATTGAAAGATTAAGTTGACAGTTGTCTTCAACATGATATTTTGCATATATATACTAGAAGGGAGAAGAATCAAAGACTTCTTAGGATGGAAGATTTGTTGATCTATCAAAGTCACAAAATAGTTGGAGGTGTTTGTTGAATTGGGAAGGGCCAAAGCAAAGAACTGTAATCGAAAGCACAAAGTACATTAATATCATAAAATTGTTTATATAAAAAAATTTGACTGTTTTAATTTGTACTATTTTATGAATTTACAACATTTGTATACTGCGGTACATGCTTTTTTAGTGTACTTTTGCAATTTTGATAAGCAGTCAAGCACCCAAGAGGGTGAGTACAAGAATGAAGGCTCATTTTTTTTTTTTTTTTTTTACAAAAGAGAATGAAGGCTAATATAGAACAATATCTACTGTCAACTAACCAATACATTTGTTATGCCTTGAAACATAATTATAGAAACCATAACAGCAGTGAAAAAATCTTGAAAATAAATGGTGCGTGAATTTGTAGAAAATGTTACAGTAGCTGTGACCATACTATGAGCTTCAATAACAGCCTACTATTTATGAAACACTAAAAAATTGTTAGTTGCACGTAGCTTGTGTGACGCCTTTCCCTCGGGCGACTTACAAATCTATATTTTCTTATCAGTATTTTTATTTGCCAAGATAGTTTTGCTATGCACAAAGTGGAAAACCAATCAAATAAAAATGTCTAAACAACCACCTAGCATGTTTAGTTAAAAATCTGTAAGTCATGCCTAGTGCGGATGCATGCGAAGAGGCTAGTAATGTGATTATGTGGATGTTAGATAGCCTCTTTTAGACATTTTACAAAGCATAAGTATTAAAACAGCAACCCAACCTGAGTCAAATTGCTAACTGGCCCAATGCAATAAGTAATGAAATCTCCTGCTGTAATGTAAAGTCTCCGACAGAGCCCCATTAGATTACTAACTATTACACATCAAGGGAAAAAAATGATGGTAAGTGTGGACATACCATTGCCAGTTTGATCCCGATACAGCCACAATATTCCCCTGTCATAGTTAACAAGGATCGTTCAGCAGAAGGTAAGGTGGGAGAATGTGAAATATAGCAACAAGATAAGGTAATGCATTCAGAAGTTGTAAAAAAAAAAAATATTATATCAGACCATAATACAACATTGATGGGCAAATATGAACGATAAAAAAGGCCAAGGTAAATTTAAAAATATACTGGAATCCAAGACAAAAAGGAAATGAACTTTCAATCTTGTCAGAAACATACTTGGAAGCTTGCTCATAGCTGAAGAACTTGACAGCTGAGTTGGGGACAATACGAGCACAATTCGTACCATTCCCTTTAAATAGTCCACGGAAACCCTCACTTCTCCAGATATACTTCAAGCCTTGTATCGTTCCATTGTATTTTATGTTATGTGGATTCTGGACCTGAAGACAAGATAACCAGTCAGGAAAGGAATGAAATTTACTTCTACGTGTTATTGTGTGTGTGTGTGTGTGTGTGTGTGTTGGCACATACATAAACAAATGAATGACATTGTTCACAATTAGTTGAAAAAATGAACCTGAAGCAAAATTTTCAGTCGTTCCAATGGAGCAACAGCCGTGCGTGACCTGGACGGAAAATTAAACATTTCAGTTATCAAGAGCAGTCAACATGGCAATAGCATTGAGAAATATAAACAATGCACAATCTGATCCTGCTATTGTCGCAACGATAATACAACAATCTCGGTTCACATCACTGCAGTCTAATGGAATTCAAATTCCAGATACCACATGAGATTAAATACTTCAAATTCATGACCTTTCAAAATACTACACATTGGAGATTCTAAAACACAATTCAATAGATTAGCAAGATTTAATATTTTGATCTCATTCTTCATTTGCATTAACCAAGCGATTAAATTTAAAGATTCAGCCGCATTAATTGCTTCATCAAACGAATCTTCGAAAACAAGATAAAATTTTTGAGCTCGAGAAATCGAGAAACTCACACTCCACCGGCGACTCCTCCAGCAACGAGAGACTTGCAGACGCTGAGCAACGCGAGGTTCGGAGCCTTTACCACGCCCTCCCTCGCCATCTTCGCCTCCTCAGCCAGGTTGACGATCGTCGAGACCGCCGATTCGCTCGGTTTCACATCCTCCGAAGCCATTTGAGCAGAGAGAGCGAGAGAGCAATCAATCAGCGAACAACGATTCAACCTTCCTCGTCGGAACCCTAGGCCGTCGGAGTGGTTGATCTGAACCTTCACTTTTCCCGGCGCCAATCGATCGGTACGGATTTTGAAACCTTACGGTGTCGTTTTATGGGAAAGAGAGCCTCTGGTTCATCGTTCTGCGTGTGGGTGTGTTGTCGTTGTGCGAGTATAGGGGTGGTGACGGCTTTCGGGAGCTGAAGGTGAGCGGGACTTTGATAAACTGCCGGAGTGTTAGGTGACGGCGTTTGTTTATTTGCTGAAATTTATAGTCTGCGTTTAGAGAGGAGAGAGAGAGGAAGAGAGGAGAGAGAGAGTGAGGGAGCAGAGTGGTAGAGTGACTGGTGGGAAACGAAAGAGTTGGGAGTCGATGTGAGAGCTTTACACGTGGTAGGTGAGAGGGGTTTGGGTGGTCCATCGACCACAAGAAAATAGATGAGGTTTTTGTCTTCTGTTTTTTCATCTTTTTTAAGGAAGAATTTTGTCCAATTCAATTCACAATTTCTATTTAAACTAGTGACATTTTTGAAAAGAGAATAATTAGGTTAAACAATATATTGTACGATTTTAATCGTTCATGCGTTAGAATAAACATCATATTATTCTTCTTATAATCAACTCCTTATAAAAATCCTATCATTAGTTTTTTGTTTGTAAAAAGTTCATTATGTTTCGAGAAATCAAAAGTAATAGCATAATCAAAGTTTAAGAAATTAAGACTGTATTGAAATTATACACTTTTTTATATAGATGCCATAGGCTTTAGTTTTATTTAGGTATTTTGTAGGCGAGTGTCTAAAATCAGACTCTATAAAATATAAATAAAGGATTTTGGTCTCCTATAAAAAATAAAGATCATTTATGCATAGCATAGTCCAAGAGAACTCACTTTAGTGCAAAAGATGTTTGAAGACAAAAATATTTGAACACAAGGTCTAGAGTTCATGAATAACATGAGCTCCAAGGTCCTTGGAGTTTTCTTTATAGATTAAATTAATTGAAATTAAATAGGTCAGATAGGATTCAAATTTCACCTTTTTACATAATACCAAACAACTCTTACTCGGAGAAAACGAGTCAGAGATAACCCCCTAAATTTGCACCCAAATCATATCAGAGGGACTTGTATTTATTGAATAAATCAAATGGACTACAATGGAGGAGAGATTAAATGGATCTTTCGGTGTTGCATACACTGGATTACCAACTGAATTAACAAATAGGTAGTGGACAAGTGTCAGTTGACGATTGCATTGCCAGGACCAAAGTTTAGCACGCTGCAGCGTACCAAAGCAGCAGGGTATCTTTCCCTCCCGGCTCTTTCGCACTTAACGGAAACCCAACTACATCTGATGACGTTGCCCCCTACCAGACGTAACGTAGCACACCATCATTGGCGGGCTGCTCCGGGGCCCACCAATCATGACTTTTTCTGAGAAATGATCTCCTCGCACGGACGGAAAATTAGTTGTTTACTCTCTTTTCCAACATGTGCGCACTTTAGAGAAAGGCTATAGAACACCAAAATGGGCCAAAAGGCTTAGGACACCGTAATGGCCTTAAAACATAGGTCCAGCGTCGTCTGGGCACTGGAGAAAATGGAAACTAAAGATGTGGCAATCCTTCGGCCTTCAGATCTTGTTGGATGGACAAGATCAAAACGTTTTTCATAGTCTTGTAGGTAAAATAAACATGCAGAGGATTCTAGTCCTTTGGGGATAGCATGAGGTGAAACCCTCAGTTCATAACTTTTTAATACAACAGTATTATTTAAACACGAAAAAATGAGGAATTAGGTTAAGTCTTATAATGGATCTACCACAATAATTTAGTATTGAACTCGTCGTCAAACCTAAGGCATTCATTTGCAACTTGCAAGTAAAGACAAATAACACTAGATTGTTGTACTAAGTATCATATTGATTTTTTTTTTCTTTTTTTTTTCTTTTTTTTATTTTATTTTTGCTTTTTAACTAAGAGATCGGGTCAAATTACTGCATGAAATCGTAGAACTATAGAAAGGCCTCATGGGCGATGCTGGGCTATAATTTTGGGTACTGTTTTTCATTTGTTTCTTCTGACCCAGACAATGGGAATTTGGGCTTTCTAGTGGAAGCCCCAAAATGATTATTGCCTTTAGGTCTGTCTAGTGGCAGCCCAAAGTAAGTCCATGACCCACCGAAAAGAAATTCTAAATCCATCATGATTGTTTTTGAGATTTTTATTATTATTTTATTTTCTTAATATATCATGGATTTCATTCGTTGGAGAAAACATAGGATAAAGAGTAGTAAAAGAAATACAAAGGGGAAAGAAAAGAGATGGCAACTTTGGGCCTCTCTAAACATTGGGTTGTATTTTAGAATATGTTGCAAACTTAAACAAGTGTTCGGTTTGAAGAAAGTTGGAGTTTAATCATAAAAGTAATTGATAATATAGTTTTATGACACATGAATAGATTTTTTTATTACAAGTAGAAATAGAATTACAACCCGAAAAGAATAAACAACTAGAAAAAGAAAAGCTATTACAACTAGAAAATTATTAAAATTACAATTAGAAAAGGAAAATGCATGGACACCTATCGAGCTTCGTTTGAGGAAGTAGTTCAACCTCTTATAAGCTCTTGCACGATTTGATCCCTCAACAATGTGGGACACATGTGACCTTTGCACTTTACACGTGGAACAACCTGCTCTGATACTATAAGAAAATTGGAGTTCCATCATAAAACCAAATGACAATATGGATAGTAGCCAACCTCTTATAAGCCTTTGCATAGTTTAGTCTCTCACTGATGTAGGACTTTGTCCTCACAGCGTTGAGTTTAAACAAAAAAAAACTAAATCTAAAATCAAGGCGGCGTTAAGTTTTCTAATGTTTGACATATGGTAATCATCCATACGTTTAAGCTTCTTAGGTAGTCAATGTCTAGAGAACTTATTCAACAGACAAGCACATGTATATCCACCATGTGTCCAACACGCATAACACGAGACAATGCTAACCTTAATGCGATATACACCGGCCTTACCAAAAAATCAATGCCCAATTGGTTTTTCAAACGGCTAGGAACTTTGTTTAAGGATTAAGTGACTATAATATGTCTCCTCTCCCTAGCCTCGTTTTGGACATTGCTTCCATATTTTAAAAGGAAAACTCACGAAAAGTCCAAAAAAACTTAAATTTTAATGAAAAAAGATAAATAAAGGTGTAGTGAATAGTATCAGAGAAAGGTAAAAATATGATTTTTCGTTAAAAACGAACAATACCGGAAGTGTTTTGTTCAAATTCCCTGTTTTAAATCATATAAACTCATTCTTAGCATATTAATTAATTAATACATAGTTGTTACATAATATCAAATATTACGAAATTGACTTTTACGGCACAACTCCAACAACCCTGCTATTTATGAGCCCCCTCCAACAAATGTCAAGTTTTCTTCTTGTAGGCTTTTACCAAGCGCACAAACTACCAACAACACCATCTCATATTTAAACAACAGTCATCGCTTTAGAATCCAAGATTGACCCGACCACAATTATGAATTAAAGGCTTTCCTCGTCATAGCGGGAGAGCGATACAACTCAGAACAAATAAAAAAAAAAAATCAAAATGGATTGTTGCCGATCCCAATAGCAAAAGCAGGATTCGGCATTTTTTTTTAAAGTTTGGAAGCTTTTTTGGTCAATTAAAAAGAACAAACGTTTGGAGTCTAGACATTAATCACGTAAACGACTATCTTTGATATTCACGTAGCGTACAAAGAAAACAAGAAATGTTTCTTATGATCGCGGGTCATATAAACCATTAATGTCCATGACACTGTTTTACGTTAGTAGTTTGACTATAGTCTATAACTAGCTCATGTTAAATTAATAGTAAACAAATTACACCTTATGTTTTTTTAACTGCTTAAGGTGCGATTTCTTCTTGAACCATGAGGGCATTCTACTTAATTATTTTTTAATATCATATCACCCACCCTTTCAGAATGCTACATTTTGTAGCTGACCTTCTGCCTAACAACCTAGGAGTTGTATCCCATTCTGGCATCAATGATTAGGCATAAAGATAACCCGAAGAAAAAAGGGGAAGATAAATGAAGGCAAGGGTAGCAAATGCTAAGAAGAAAAACTTTCCGAAGAGAATTATTGGTGGGATCGTTCGGACATAGCGGGACACAATTCAAGATCCTTTGCAGATTTCAACTCAACCGATGAAATTTTGCTTTAGTTTCTAATTACACTTAAGTGTAGTTTAATGTAAAAGTTAACCGAAGTAATTTTTTTAGAATCCGGATTTTCTCTCTCATTTTTGCTCCCCACTAGTCCTTTCATATTTGAAAGCTCACGATTAAGTCTCGTCAATATCTTGTATTAATTTTTTTATAGAGAGAGAAAGACAAAAAAGAAAATGTGAGAGGAGGGGAGGGGATGGGAGATGATTTGGAGGGGAGAGAATCATACTTCCTTTTTTTAATGGATCAATCAACAATATGCCTTCAACTTAATCACTTGCTAGCCCAACAGATACATAATTTTATTACACAAGACGTCAGTACAACTAAAAGTATAAGCGTTCAATACAAGTTATACTTTATTATGTCATGTTACCGATTTGGGACTTTGTACACTCTTCAACATGATGGATTCCATAATATAATTTGTAAGATGAATGAGGGACTAGTAAACTTTGATGAATTTCGTAACCAATTACTAAGTTGATACATTGTGTCTCTACATACAAGTCTTTTTCAACTTATTCCTTAAAATGAATTAATTATTTGTAATTAAAGGAAAATGTAAATTAAATCAATGTCAGCACTGCACATATAGAATGGCAAAAGAAACAAACCTTATCAAAATAATGCAAATACATATATGCTACCTAATGAACAAAGAAAGAAATTACATGTCTTTTGCAAAGCTTTGGATTAAGATAATAAAATTGGTGATCAACATATTAAATAGAATATTCCTCCTAAATTAGGAAAAGGTGTGTACTAATAAGTGAGCCTACCGCACTGGCTGAACCAAGTCAATAGATGATCAAATATTTTGTGGGGATGATCATAAAGGGGAAGATAAACATCACACACAAAGAAACCTCCTAACCTACTTAATTTCTAAAGAGGAAAACATGGTGCGAAGGTGACGAATTTGACCTGTGGTAGATTATCTTTTTGTATATTTTTCTAAAACGTAATCATTTTATAGTGGCTTATCAATTTGAGTACCAAAAGAAGTTTTATCCAAAAACTCTTTTTTCTTTACATAAGAAATTCTTAAACCCAATTGAAAATGAGCAAAAAAACCATTGACAAAAACCAGCTATATCACAAT